CCCTTAGTTGTTGTTGTTTTGCTTTGTTTGGGTTTTTTTTTGTTTGTTTTACTTGAGGCTAGCACTCTACCACTTCTGGTTCTTTGTTAGTTAATTGGTGGCACATAGCTTGCTAAAAACTGCAATCCTCAGATCTCAGTTTCTTGAATAGCTAGTATGACAGGCCTGAGCCAGTGACTAATCTGTTATGCTTCTCAGAGCCACTGCAGTCAGGTAAAAATACTGAAACTCCTGTTCGACTGGGAGTCAGTGATGAACATATATGGCTGGTTTACAATGGAAAGTCTTCAAAGCAGATAAACATGTAGAATAGGAACCTTCTGAACATGATGGGAAACCTAGAGAGAATACTTTAAACGTAAGAGTGAAGAAAACAAGGAAAAGAACCAGGTAGATAGTGGAAACTGGCAAAATGTGTAATCAAACTTCAACAGATGGAGAGGTAGCTCTTAATAACATTGTCTTTCTTCATATTCTTCAATCAAGACTTTATTGAACTATTCTAATTCCACCTCAAATCTTACACAGATCCAAGTTTAGATTCAGAAGCAAGATTCTCCCTACTTCCTAAGGAATGTGGGAGAAATTTTTACATGTTGATTCAAGTCCAAGTTAAGTGACTACAGGCAAGGCTCAAGTGGAAGAGTGCCACTCATCAACAAGCAAGCAAGCCCTGAGTTCAAGACTAGGAACCAACATGCACACACACACATACTCTCTTTACACTTTCTCTCTCTCTCTCTCTCTCTCTCTCTCTCTTTCTCTCTCTCTCTCTCTCTCCCTCACTCTCTCCAGTTAATAATCACAACCACTTAGGTAGACTAGGGAAGACAGAATTAGAAATTACTTAGGAGATTCCCTCTAAACTACTCTCTTCTCCATCTTCAGCATAAAAAAAGAGCAATAGTAGGACTAACAGAAGCCTACAAGTTGTCCATTCCAAAATCTTCTATTTCAGACAAGAATTAGGATAAATAAGAGTAAAGTAAATAAACAAATAAAATAAGAAATCAAGTAAGAGTTAACATACTATCAGTCACATTTACAATAATTTATATTGCTCAATCAATTGCTATTCTGGTTTTTCCATAATTGTGCTATATCGAAAAGTGTCTTCTTGCTTACATTTTAACAAACAATCTTCAAATTACAAACAATATTCAACAACAGTTGTACTTTTCTTTTTTTTCAGATTTATAGGATTCAATCATTTTGAACTGTGTCATAAACTTCCCCATTCTGGCAGAGTGTATTCTTTATTGGCTAGAACACATGTGCCCCTTCCTAACCTTTTTACTTCCAAACAAATAAATGACTCACATGACTTGAAAATTGGATCTGCAGTGACTGAAAGAGAAATGATAAAAAAAAAATAGCTAATGTCTTTATCATCATCTCCTTAGCCAGCCAGGGAGACAAAAGGGGATTTCAGTTTCCATTTTGTGAGCTGCATTATCTCATGTTAATCCTCCATAAACATGAGGAAGTGATCATTTCAGGGCTAAAAACTGACTAGAGGAAACACATTTCTCATGTGAATAGACAAGATAAGCAGGTTGCCAGGAATGCTTCCATTTTTGCGGCAAGGTGTGCTGTATTCCTGGAAGACACTGTCCGTTCATTCAGGGGTCCTCACTACTTCAGTTCTCTGTCTGTTCTTGGATCAGGACCAAGAGCCACAATCCACATAGCCCTTTGTCTTAGAGAACATTCTATTTTCCCCAGCTTTACTTAGAGAAATGAACATCCCCAAATAAACCATTCCAGATTTTAATTTCTTGCTGGGAGGGCAAATGGAAAGATGAATCGGAGTCCTGAATACAAATTGAAGCTTTCCTTACACTTAAGTTTTAATCCTGAAATTGGAGAATATTTGCTTCCCATATAAGTCCTTGTTTGTCCTGAGTGTTTTTTCTGTGGGGTCCTTATTGCAGAGCTGTGTTTAACTGGATAGGGAGGTACACAAATCATCAGCAGAGGAGATCTGGGAAGGAGGGGGTACAAGCGTGCAGCCATAGCCCAGCTCCCAGCACAGATGACTTGTTTACTCTCAAAGACACTCACAGGCTCCTGTCTTTATGAAGATGGGCAGCACAACTTCCCTATTCTTTTCTTGTCCTTGACGATCATTGAAATGTGCCCTTTTCTTCTTTGTATCAAAACATTCTGCTTTCTGAATGTCTTCACATCTCTGTTATTTTCCCTTCTCTTCAGTTTTGGTTTAGAGCATGCAGTTGTGATAAAGCCATTTCTTCTTGGCCCATCTCAATGTATTTTTGAGCCAAAACAACTCTTTGGATGGTTGGAAAGATCCCGTCAGCAAATGCATAAATAGACCTTACATTGTCTCACCTCTTCTTCCACTCATCCTTCTTCTTCTCAGTAGCTGCGTGTATTCTGCAAAAGACAAAAGAAAGTCTGTCAAGGTCAATTGGGTCTTTATTTTTTTTAATGAGCTGAAAATATCAAGACTTTTCTCTCATCTTCAACCTTTGCTCTGAATCTTCAGACAGAAATACTGTTACTCTTTCCTATTTTTTTCTGTCCTGCCCTGACCTATCTATTTTACCCTTCCCTATCCTATTATGTCCCAATCACAAGGACTGGGATGGAGTTTACATTGTCTGCTCTTGGCTATAGATGTACATGGTAAGGAGGACTACCTGTGAGCATTTTACAACCATACCAAGTCATTTTCTTTTTTTTTTTTTTTTTTGGTGCAGTCGTGGGGCTTGAACTCTGGGCCTGGGCGCTGTCCCTCAGCTCTTCAGCTCAAGGCTAGCACTCTACCACTTGAGCCACAGCACCACTTCT